AGCCCCAGCACAGATGAATCTAATGTTTTGAGGAGTATGTGTGGCAGTCAGTCACCGCACTGGTGTGGATATATAGTACTTTGCAATCACAGTCTCTAGCCTACTTCTTGGAATATATGACTCAAATAAAAATTTGAACAATATATTGTCATCAGAACAAGTACGTAACAAGTCTGCCATGTTTGTTCTGACCAACTGAGTAAAAAAGCATTACAATAAATCGCGCTATATGGTGATTTAATCTAAAGATCGGTTAGCTCATATCACATCAAACCGTGCAAATTATTATTATTGTTATACTTTATTCTCAAATTATTAATGTTAACAACATCAGCATTGCGTGACTATGAGTATAGTGTGTATTAGTGTGTAGATTTCAATTTCTGTACAGTCTAATCTCTAATTGTCATACCATTCGAATTCCATATTAAGAAATTATTTTAACCCAAAAAGCAAACTATGCTCCCTTCGAACCTTCTTTAAAATACAAATCTTGTGTAATCCCTGGCTATCTGTAATCAGAAGCACATTTAAAATGGGAACATTATTTAATTTCATTCACATGTGTTTCATAAACACATAATCCTTTCTGGATTACAATCCGCCATTAAAATGATACATTTAATTATTCTAGCTACTGTGAGAAAAGGCTATAAACGATCCGCCACCTGCAGGATCCTCACATGCGATAGCCTAGTAGCCGGGACAACTTCTTTATGTTTACAGACGTGACGTAATGACGCGACAGCGTGCTCGAATTTCCCGCGAAAACATAACCGTACCACTCAAATTAGAAAACATTATTATAAGCTAACTGTTGTGAATCGGGCTAAAGTAAGGCGATAGTTTTGAACACTGGCTGGTTATGTACTTGCTCAAATATTGATTTCAGATCATTTTTAACCTAAAATAGTTATGGACTGCAGCTTTAAGTATTAGTTAATTTTCATGCTTGTTATTGTTTTTCACTATTTCTTTAGACAGAACTCCTTTGAAAAGGTATTCACATCTTTGTAATTTATTATTATTATTATTATTACGATGACCACATCATTTAAAGAGATTTTTAAGCAATGGCCTCAGCTATTTTCATGTATGCTTTAGAAGTATGGTTACATATTAAAGCGATATTCTATAAAATGGTTTGCATTGTCTATATTATTCTTAATTCTTTGCAATAAAGCGATATACTATAAAATTCTTTGCATTCTTTGCAATGTCTGCTTACTGATTTAAAAAAATTATAATATAATCAGAAGCATAATTTCACAATTTAATACTTTTACTAGCTGCCATGACAACTGTTTTCACGTAATCCAATCTATATAAGAAAAAAACTGCTACTGTACAGCAACCCATTAAAATCATTCAGCGGACATAAGTATATGTAGATATAGCACTTAAAATGCATTCAATCATGATTGTGATTACTGTAATTTTTAAACACCCTTTAACTATGTTTAGCAAGGAACTGAGATGGAAAAAAATATTTAATGACAATTACCTAGTGACATCCTTTCAATTTATTCAATATAAACAATCCATTTTAATATAAAGTCTTTGATTTCATGACATTTTCCTAGAAATACAATACAACATACAACTCGAATTCCGTAAATGTTGGGACGTTTTTAAAATTTGAATAAAATGAAAATTAAAAGACTTTCAAATCACATGAGCCAATATTTTATTCACAATAGAACGTAGATAACATTAATGATTAAACTGAGAAATTTTACACTTTTATGCACAAAATGAGCTCATTTCAAATGTGATGCCTGCTACAGGTCTCAAAATAGTTGGGACGGGGGCATGTTTACCACGGTGTAGCATCTCCTCTTCTTTTCAAAACAGTTTGAAGACATCTGGGCATCGAGGTTATGAGTTTCTGGAGTTTTGTATTGGAATTTGGTCCCATTCTTGCCTGATATAGGTTTCCAGCTGCTAATGAGTTTGTGGTCATCTTTGACGTATTTTTCGTTTAATGATGTCTAAAACCTTTATATACCTTTCAGCATTCATAGTGCCTTCCAAAACATGCAAGCTGCCCATACCGTATGTATTTATGCACCCCCATACCATCAGAGATGCTGGCTTTTGAACAGCACGCTGATAACACGCTGGAAGGTCTCCCTCCTCTTTAGCCTGGACACGGCGTCCGTGATTTCCAACAAGAATGTCAAATTTGGACTCGTCTGACCATAGAACACTTTTTCACTTTGAAACAGTCCATTTTAAATGAGCCTTGGCCCACAGGACACGACGGCGGTTCTGTATCATGTTCACATATGGCTTTTTTGCATGATAGAGCTTTAGTTGGTATCTTCAGATGGCACGGCGGATTGTGTTTACTGACAGTGGTTTCTGGAAGTATTCCTGGGCCCATTTAGTAATGTCAATGACAGAATCATGCTGATGAGTGATGCGGTGTTGTCTGAGGCCTGAAGACCAAGGGCATCCAACAAAGGTCT